AAGGGCCAACATCTACTGAAAACCCATGCTTTCCACTTTTCTGTAGGCTGCAACACTGTCAGACAGTATCTTGGAATTTAGTATTAAGTATCCCACCAACACAGCCAGAGAGTAGGTGGTTTGGCTTTGGTGGTACCGATTTTTCACAAGCTATACTCACTATTCTCTCTGCTAAAATGTGTACTGAAGGTAAAGGATACGGTCTAGTCTAAAAGTTAGAAAGGATACCTGAACAATGAAAAAGCTAAAACTCTGAAGCCTTTCTCCAAGTTTCTTCCTTCCTTCTTTTTTTTTTTTTTTTTTTTTTTTGGTGGATATGTGAATTTAATCTCTGGGTACTGAAGTAGTGAGAACCATTTTGCATTTCAAAAGAATCAAATATGTGCAATTCCTTTGAGAAAGTTGTTAATTTAGACTTTCTTTTAATGGCATTGACTATTAGTGCAGTAGAAATTAAACATGACTGGTCACTGAGTACATTTGTCACACTGACCCATTTAGAAAAAGTAATTTAGGAAAAATTTGTGTGGGAGTTTTGTAACCTGAAAATTTTCCCATTTCTTGGTTTCAAAATGTATTACAACATTTTATTATAATGTTATTTAATATGTAAAATGTAAAAATAAGGTATGTTGTTTTTTCATTTAAAAAATGAGCACTAAGAAATAAATGTGTTAAGCTCATCAACACTAGTAAGTTTAATTTAAAAATAGAACTGTTTGGCTTGGAATGAGGATATGTGAAAAATAGAGCAAGTATATGAATCCAACAGCAATTTATTATGAAAACTATCACTGGTAGAAATACCAGTTAAAAATATTTCCCTTAACATTGCCAATGTTTTATCAATATCTAATTGAACAATTCTCAAGTGTACAATAATGGTTTAAGGACTGATGCTGGGGAAGAGGACTTAAAATTAAGCTAAATCCTGTGATATCAACTTCAGACAGTGGAATCTGGTCATATAATTGGATCTCGTATTATGTCAATAAATCCCTTTAGCTCATAATGCTTACGGACGCAACAGACAGGTTATTTAATGTTGCAATGCTGCAAAATGAATGGTGAGTTACTGATGACTCCCACAGTTCCTGAGTTACTTTCTTATAGATTTGAATATCAAAAACTTCTTCTGGTTTATTACTACAAAAGAATGCCAAAATATTATGATAAACTCACAAAACTACAAAAACATAAATCTACCATTTCTTGCCCGACTCTCATTTTGTGGTGAACATCTGAGCACAAATGGAATTAAATTGCAGTCTCTCCAAACACTATGGTCTTCAACTTTCTGTTCTCCAAATACCAACATAACTGTGTGAAGACACCTTATAAACCAATAGAATCCATCCTAGGAACCCAGGTGGTTGCTCAGGCCACACTTCTAACTTGCATCTTGAATTATTAGATTATCAGGGTAAACAATTTCTCACACTACATCAATGCAACATTTTATTATTAATAATGTGCTTGTGTTTATTTCAACCAGATCAACCCAGAATCTCTAAAATGTAAGAATCCAAATAGTTTTGAATGATTCTTGTACTAAGCACTCACAATCATTGATATCAAATAAGACTGAAGAAACAGCTATCTCTGTAGTCTTGAACACAACTGCATGTGTAATGAATAACATGAATTTTAAAAGGGTACAGTCATTTTGACAAACTAATCAATAGCCCAGAAATCTATGGTACAAGTGCCTTGCCAGAGTCTGGGCTTGAATGAACCATCTGGCAAGTAATGGGCTATCATGTCTATTCTCTGTATTTTGAAGGCAGAAAATTACTGAACGGAGCTGGTCCAGATACTCACAATAGTTTTTACACACTCAAACATCATGAAAGTTTCTAAAAACATCTTTTAGAAATTTTTCCATCTCTTCATCCCATGCTACAAAATTCAAATCTCACTATCATTTCCAGACATATGGAAAATGAAATATGTTCCCAATATGAAATACCAAGGCAATTAACAGCTGGGTGGTTGTTATGGAATAACATTTCTCACCAGCTGCTTGTTGGACCCTCTTGTTTTAGTGTCATAAACACGTTCTGGAATTGTATGAACACCTGAGAAATTCATTAACTTTGAAAACACTATTGTGTAGTTATCTCAGATATCAATGAGAGAAATCTCAGTAGGAAGATATATGCTCTAAGCATATAAAATTTTGACAGAGTAAGGAGAACCAAAAGGAGCAAGATAGACATTTGTCAAAATATCCATACTAAGGATGGTACACTGAAATGAAACTAATCTTGCATTTAAACTCCAAATCTTCCATGGTACTAATCATGTTACAGTATAACACACACCAGGTACATTCAACAGTATGTATAACCCAACCAATAGACATGAGCAGCTGCTGTTAATTAGAAGCACACTTTCACCAGAGTCACTATAGAAAATTCAATGAGAGAAAAATTGATAGGCTCATAAAAAGTTGGTCAAGCCAGTGTTAACCAAGTCTAAAAATTTTTCAATTAATACATTAGGTGAGGCTCAATAAAACTCACTAAAATAGTTTATAAAAAAACATAAAACAAAACAAAACCCAAGATGACCTAGAGATAGCTTAGTGGTTAAGAGCACTGACTGCAGGGCTTGAGAGAAGATTGCTCTCTTCCAGAGGCCCTGAGTTCAATTCCTGGCAACCACATGGTGGCTCATAACCACCTGTAATGAGATCTGGTGCCCTACTCTGGCATGCAGGGACATATGCAAGTAGAACACCGTATATACAATAATAAATAAATAAATCTTAATAAAAAAGAACACTGACTCCTCCAGAGGACCCAAATTCGATTCCCAACACCACAACGATCTGTAATTAATGCATGTGGTACACAGACATATATGCAGCCAAAACACCCATACATGTAAAATAAATAATTTTAAGTTTAAAAAGAAACACAATATTGAAATTAGTTAAGATATGGTTGAACAGAGGGAACCAAGGCAGTAAAAATAAACTCAAACTACAGAAAAATGCACATATACTTGTAGCTAGAGTTTTCCTGCCTGGCCCACAGTCAGGACAAATCTCTCTCACCTGCCAGTCCCACAGCCGCTCAGACCCAACCAAGTAAACACAGAGACTTATATTGGTTACAAACTGTATGGCCGTGGCAGGCTTCTTGCTAACTGTTCTTACAGCTTAAATTAATCCATTTCTATAAATCTATACCTTGCCACGTGGCTCGTGGCTTACCGGCATCTTCACATGCTGTTTGTCATCGTGGCCTGGCAGTGTCTCTCTGACTCAGCCTTCCACTTCCCAGCTTTATTCTCCTCCTTGTCCCGCCTATACTTCCTGCCTGGCCACTGGCCAATCAGTGATTTATTTATTGACCAATCAGCAATACACTTGACATGCAGACCATCCCACAGCATATACTATGTATCTTAATAAAGACAGAAAGCACACAAAATATGGAACAGTCTTGTATACCTATAATTCGCTGTTCAAGTTGATGCAATTCAAGAAATATGCACTGAAACTGAAAGGGGGGAATCAGAAGCGCTTTCTCTAATCAAGAGACTGAGTAGATAAAGAGAGAAAGTACTGAGACCAAAACCAATATTGCTGGCAGAGGGCACTGGTCTCACCGGAAATGATGAAGCTGTGCAAAGAGCAAAGCTATCTCTGTAACATTATAAGTGACCCTCTCAAGGTAAAGACAACTTTGTTTACTAAATCCTTGAGGAGCTGCTTCTAAAATCTGATTTTAACTATCTTTAGGAAGGCGAGCGATACATCACAAGGTGACTCTTCATGAACAGCTGAGATAGGCTAAGGTTAATTCTCATCCTCTACAGTAGCTAGTGCAGCTGTGCCCTTGACACTCCAGTGACTGCATCAATTCAAGATGCTAAGCCAGCACTGCACACAAAGCCAGCTACTCCTGTGCTTCCATGTCACATGGACTATAGCAAGGTATTTCTTAAGTATCACTTCAATGGGTCTACCAGAAAAGTCTCACATCTACAATCCAGTCACCTGATTACACTGTAAGAAAATACTACCCAGTGATCATTTTTATGTTAATACCTGCAGGAGACAATCTGGGTTTTCTCTTCATTGAGGGCCTGATAGACTTTTTTTATTTAGTGCCCACAGTGGAAATGAACCATTTGTGCAGGTAGCTATTTTCACAGATGAGAGAAAATAAAATTATATAAGCTTTACTACTTTTTAAGTGATATAAAGTACTGAGTTATCATAAAGTTAGAAAACTTTAATATACATATATCATTTTATATATATATCTATATATATATATCTAGATATATATAGATATATATATATATAATGATTCCTGCTGGTTTAGGTAGCTAATTAAAACAAAATATGATAGAAAAAAGATTTCTGAAGAACAATGGACTGATAGTTAAACTAGCAAAAAAGAAAAGAATGCAGTTTTGAGAAGCCAGATATTTTTAACGTACCATTAATTCTGTTTTTGAAATGAAACTGCACTAGGGAATGCTTTTCTTAAAATGTTACATTTGTTATTAATTTAAATTAGTTGATTTCCTACTTTGAAATCAGTACTCAGCTTCACTATAGAATGGAAATGTTCTAGTCACTATAAATTCCCAAAGAAGTACCTTTATTCTCTCCATTTTTACTGTGTTTACCAAACACCATGCTTGCATACTATTTGTGGAGAACAGAGTGTTTAATTAAAAGCAAAATAAATTATGCTTATTAAAACTAAACAGCTAAGTATATTCTCATAGACTATAGTTATTACTTAAAAATCTATTTTCCATTCAATCTATTGCCTACACAGGACAGAGAGCCTCTTGATACTATAGATATGCTCACCCAAAGCAGATGATTTCCAGGGAGGTGAAGGATCCACAAATAAAGAGGGCTGATCAGCTATGGGCTCTTAAAGGAATACTAACCAATACTTTTTCTTTCAGAAATAAAAACTGACGCTTATATTTTTAAAAAAATTACCAAGAAGTTCAGCAAACCTTACTTCTGGCAGTGGGCTGGCCGGCTTTGTTAGGATTCCTCCAACGTACACAACGTTAGGCAGGGTGGGTCTTGGAAACTCCAGTGCTACATCAGTACACAACATCCATAGGCTGGACCCATGAACCAAATCATACATGGACTTCGCAGGCATCAGGTTATACTTCTGCATTATCCTCTCATATTTGGGAAGAACCAGAAAGCTAACCCCCAGTCTGGAAATGAGGTAAACGCCAGTATTTTTCATCCTTTCCAGGAAGTTCATGCGGTCTGTGAGGAGTGAGTTAAACTCTGGGACATAAGCTAAAGGAGCAGGGGCTCCTACTTCAGCAGGATACCAAAGGCCAGTAGAAAATACAGCATATTTAACTCCTAAAAGATGAGCGATCACAAATCCACACATATCATTGGGGTCCACAAGTAGCAGGTCAAATTTTTCTTTTTTCAAAGCCTGGATTAGGGCTCGGTTGCCAACCATCATGTCACAATTCTTAGTGTAGTGGTCTAGTATATCAACCAGTTCAACTGCTGTCAGTCTCCCAGAGAAAATATTCCGCATTTTAGACTGCAGGAAAGCATCTGAGGTGGTACTGTTGAAGATCCCTGGGTACCGCTGGAGGCTGTAGTGATTAGATGGGGCAATGTCTCTGCCTTCTGAGAGGAGGAACACCGTGTGGTGGCCTCTCTCGTGCAAGGCTGATGCTAGCGTCTTGAAAATGTACAAATGGCTTTCAAACATAATTGGCGGCACGATGATGATTTTGGCAGCCCTTGCTATTCCAACAGCACTCCATAGGAGCATGAAATATGTAGTGTAAGACTTCATAGCTGTGAAGACAACCAGAAAATGACTTAAAACAGTATAAACAGATAGCCATTCAAAACAACCACAATGATTTTATTTCCCAAAACAGATGATGATCCAATTCTTTTAAAAATTAGCCTAATATTGTTCCAAAGCAGCCTTCACTTAAATAAAAATTATTAAGTACAGAATTGGAAGAAATCGACACACAATACATATCAGACCAATCTGAAATACATTATTTCATCAGTAAATAAGAACTTTTTAACCCAGATAATAACTTCTGCAAGGCCTAGAGACAAGTGATAGTACTTCTTTAAACACTATGAAACATAGTACTTCTTTGAACACTATCTATGAAACAGTATTAAAAATTTCTTATTCTTAATACATGTCAATGTTAATTCCAGGAAGAGTGACAATTTTTAATTTTCAGGTATATCAGTACACAATTGCTACTTAAATCATTTTAATTTAGTGGTAACAATCCCATTGAGACTAAAGGTTTCCAATAAGAGGTCACACTTATAATTAAGTAGTAGTTCAATAATTCGGTAGAAAATGTATTTCCCTCAGGTAAAATAATCTTCAGTATTTTTTTAATCACTACATATGCTAAATATCCTGGCAGTCAGTATTTATGTAACATTTTATTTGTTACATACTGTGTTAATTCAGGGCATCACCCAAGTGAATGACTTTCAAAAGAAAAGTCCAAGAAGAGTAACTGCATATTGAAGAAGGGTTTGGTGAATGAGTGTGTCCCAGACCACACTTCCTACATTCCACCTTCAGCTAGAGTGCCAACCTCAAGCGAGACGGATGGACACCTCAATACACACGTTATAAATTCTAGGGATGAGACTTATGCAAAAGCAGATATGCCATCAATACTGTTGTTTACTGTCGCTATGTGCACACCCAAGATCTACTTAATGATGGAGCCATGGCAGACAGCCACTCTTGTACTCTGCTGGACTGACAATTAGTATGTACTTCAACCACACTCAAAGCCATGAATTGATCATAAATCGAATAATAACAGTAGCATGGAAACAAACACTTCCTCTGTGTTTCTTACTCTTCCTTATCTGAGTATATTATTTCAATCATTACTAAAAATTAAAAAGAAATAACATAAAATATTTTGCTTCAATGAACTTCTTATGTCCTAGAATAGCACTGTCCAGGAAACTATTCTGTGAGATGAAAAATGTGTATGCCTGTTTTTCTATTGGGCATTCTACTCACCAGTAACTACTGAGTAGTTTTATGAGGCTAGGAAGAGTGAGAACTAAAATCCAAATTGTATTAATAGTTCAGCTACAGGTAGCTAATGAGTACTGTCCTTAAAGAAAAAAATTAAAACTACTGACTCTATACATTGATTTAAAAATTACTATTTAGAAATATCAACATTCTCAAGGCAAAAACAACTTCTAGAAATGTCTACCATGCCTCCAATAAAAAACAGTGACTATGAGAAAACAAAATTATTTAAGCAACCATGTTTCTCTACTTAAATACAAAACAATTATGAAAAAATCACAGCAGCACCTAAACATAAGCACTGTAAGCATCACTGTGCAAATAAGAGGAAGGACCACAGCTAGCAACAAATGCTGAAATTCTCCTGGTTCACAGTCACCTGAGCACATCCACTGGACTATTACCTTCTGGTAGTTTATACAATATCTTATCCTAATACTCATCTGTGTTTTAGGAAGACTGTTATTAACAACTGTATAGGTGAAGGTGGACTGGAGGAGACAGTGGTACAAAGAGAAGAGGGAGAGGGATCGCAGCAGATGAAGGGAGACAGAAGGAAAAAAGGGAAAGGAAAAGGCTGGGAAAGGCTCAGGGAGCAAAGGAAGAGCTCAGAGGGAGGAGGTGAAAGGGATGGAGGGACCCACATGCTCCTTGCTGGAACTGGCTGTTGGAAGAGGTGTAGGCTTATGTCCTTATTGGGAGGAGGGAAGGGGTGGCTGGGGCGTGAAAAACGAGGAAGTGACAGAGGGTCTTGCTAAGGGGGGAGAAGAGTTTGAGGGTGGCAGGTGTGGGGGGAAGGAGGGGACAATGAGAGGAAAACAAGCAGGACAGGTGAGACAGGACAGGTGAGGCAGGCCCTGGAGAGGGAGAGCCAGGTGAATGTAAGGCTCTCCATGTCACAGGGGGTCGGGGCAGCAGGAGGAGGCAAATGGTGGTGGAGGAAGAGCCCTCCCCAAAGAGTGAGAGGTGAGCCACTGACCTCAGCCTTCTGACCAGAACCTGAGGAAAGCCACAAGCCCTGCACTGACAGGAAGTTTGGGCTTCTTCCCAAACTGTCACTCTGCAGCTCCAGAAAGCTGAAAGGAAAAGATGGAGAGCCCTGATGGGGAGTCCTGAGGATGTCCTGATTGGAATTTCATTCCCAGACCACACAGTGAGCTCCTGAGCTGCCTTAATGAGCAGATCCAGCTGGGCCATCTATGAGACCTCATCATCAGGACACAGGATCTTGAATACAGCTCCCATATAGTTGTGCTGGCTGCCTATAGCCACTACTTCCAGAAGATCTACATGATGGAGGTTGGGGGACTGCTTTGGTAACAGGGGTGGCAGGACAGCTACTGGAAGAGCAGGGGCCTGTGTGTGTCAGTGTGACCTGGACTTTGTAGGGCCTGAGGCCCTGGGTGCCCTGCTGGAATTTACCTACACAGCCACACTGACCACCAGCAGTGCCAACATACTGGCTGTACTCCAAGCTACCTGGCTACTAGAAATCCCGTGTCATTGTTGCCTGCATGGAAATTCTACAAAGTAGTGGGCTAGAAGCCACTAGCTCAGATGAGGATGACTGTGAGCAAGCCTGATGGTACCTGGAGGCTTTTGCCACTGCCACCACCACAGCCTCAACCTCAGATGTGCCCAACGTGAAGACAGCCCTCCACAGGAGCTCCTCCAACCACCACCACCAGCTTGACCTGTCGCCTGCCACAGCTGCAAGCCCTGAAAAGCTTTTCTTCAAACCAAGGGGGTCTGAGCAAAGCATCTGGTCCCTGATGCATCCACAGTACTCACCCATCCCTTGACTTACAAAGAAGGGGGAGCTGGTAGAGTAGGCAACAGTGGGAGCAGTGGGTTTAGGGACAGCTAGTCCTCCCACAGGTGATGCCTCACCTCCTGACTGGTACCAGAACTATGAGGTCTTTGAGAGTGAGGAAGAAGAGGAGGAGCTGGTATATCCTCCAGCCTATGAGCTAGCACAGATCAACAAGCCCCCAGTATCTATCGCCAGAGGGCTCAGATGAATATACCATTGATCCTGACCTGATGGCCAAGACAAGTTGGTGCATAAATGCCATTCACAAATGTCCAAAGAGTGCACAGTCTGTCACAAGATAATCCATAGGGCAGGCAAACTACCATGCCACATGAGAACCCACACTGGTGAGAAGGTCTTTGCCTGTGAGGTCTGAGGTATCTGCTTCACCAGGAACGACAAGCTGAAGATCCACAGGAGAGCGCCCCTACTCATGCCCACATTGCTCAGACGGCTTCCTGCAGAGCTAAGACCTCAAGAACCACATGTGCCTACACACTGTGGACCTGCCATATGAGTGCCACCTGTGCCACAAGGCTTTCGCCAAGGAAGACCACTTGCAGAACCATCTCAAAGCCAGAACTGCCTGGAGGGGTGTACCAAAAGGAGGATGATGTGCCTCTGAACTACCCACCACGCTCAACCACCATATCCACTTAAAAAGTGATGATGCAATATATTAGTAGGAAGGTCAGGTGCCCTGGGCCTCATCTTAGTATTTCAAGTGAATGGGGAGCCCAGGGCCGGGGGAACCTGAGGCTTAGTCCCAGACAGTGAGGACAATGTGGCCTCCACTCTCTCTACTTGTTTTTTCCCCACTCCCTGCCTTAGTCTGGGAAAGTATTTTCCCCCTCTCCACTCCCTTCATCTACCCCTGCACCACCCCACCACTACCACCACCACCACCACCCCGCCTTGGGTGTAAGAGACACTAAGAAATAATAATTTAAAATTCATTTAAAAAATGACTTTCTAGTTAGAAGTTTATTGACAAAACATGATGTGACACTAAACCTCTTCTCTATAAGCATTTACACATTTTCTGTTCCTCAAAACACTAGAGTAGGTATTGGTTGGTTCATACACTAGAACTGATGGTTCTAGACCACCGTCTGAGGATTTTAGATTAACTATGACCCACCAATTCCAATGTGTGACACATGACAGCACTTGGCATTTTATGTTGCAAAGAATAGTGATTTGTTTAACACTAGGTGAAACAACAATCACACCAGAGCAGGTTTGAATGGGGCTGTAAAGTAGTACTGTCAACTTCAGAAGCCACTCAAACAATACATACATTTATTCTAAAGGCACTTGAACATGCTCACTCCAGAAGCCCACATCCATAATTGAGCTTGTCTTATCCTTTCTCTGGCACCTACTAAACCTTGTGCTTAAATCATGTTAAAATTTCTTTCTGATAAATTCCAATTCTGCTTCAAACTGACTTGTCCTGAAATTATTTTCCATGGCACAGTCAAAAACCCCAGCCTCACCTGGATAAATATTTCTGAAGAGAACTCCTAAGGCAGTGAGACAGTGGAGAGCAGTTTCCCCAGCCAGTAGCCACACTGCTATTGACAATTAAGACGCCGGGCGGTGGTGGCGCACGCCTTTAATCCCAGCACTCGGGAGGCAGAGGCAGGCGGATCTCTGTGAGTTCGAGGCCAGCCTGGACTACCAAGTGAGTTCCAGGAAAGGCGCAAAGCTACACAGAGAAACCCTGTCTTGAAAAACCAAAAGAAAAAAAAAAAACGACAATTAAGAGTTTTTCCTTGAGTTTGGAGGTTCCATTTTTCTTCCTTAGGTAACCCCAATAATCACTGTTATAAACAACTAAGAGAACTACTGTTACACTCAATCACAATAGCACTAAATGCACTAAAGGAATTCTGTGATATGCTAGATGCTAAGGCATAAGAAGGTGACTGTGGCTTCTGTTCTCTTTTCAAGGGTAATGTCCTCTACTTCAACTTGGTTCATGGCCAAAAAGATGAAAGAGAACATTGCCAGCATCTAGTTTCAGTTCTCCTACAGGAGGAGATGGAGTAAAGCAGGGGCCTAGAAACCTCTAGTTAAAAAGCACTGACTCCTCCTCACTGGGGCACATAGGTACTGAAGCAGGATGAAAGGCTAACATTCTTGCCACAGTTTTGTCTCTCTCCTTTATTTTGGCTTAATGTGTTATCCTTGGGTCACTTTATTCCTGTATAAAATAAAGACTCCTCCAAAATAAAATGAGGGTAATTGTTGTCTAGGACTGACAGCCTCACCCTGGAATGGAACTAACCATCTGAAACCCCCTCAACCCCTCCAGCAAAGAATTCTGTCTAAGATTATCTTTCAAGACCTGATCAGAGATGATGTTAAGTAAGAACTTCCTCCTCTAAATCTAACGCACCGATAAGTTTCCTCAAGAAGGACTTAGGGTCATTTAACCCCTTTTTTAGTTCCTCTTCCCAACATGGCCATACTGAACTTATCTCTGCTTTTAATTTCTGTCTCTTTAACTGGTATATGGGGACTGGTGGCTGAGCCCAGGCTTCTGCCCTAAAAGCTCTGGTTACAGGAGGAGAAATGCTGTGTGCATAATTTTTGCCCTAATAGTCACTCGAACGTGCCTCATAGCTGGTGTGAGACTGTGGCAATTATTAACACTCCAGGCCATGCATTCCAAAGAATAGACCCAGAAAGTTGTAGCCACAAAGGTGCTTCGAGCCAGAAATGCCATTCCTCCATGTTTATGCCAGATTACTGTTTATGAGCAGCTAAACTACCTGATCTAAGCCACTGTACCATCTCTGTCTATAGCACCAGGGTGATGAATCATCATGGTCTTCCCAGGATTGAGGGATCCCAAGGGATGGGCATTTCAATACTACAAATGCGAAATTCCTGAGCAAATCACGCAAGTGGCTCACCTCATAGCTTTGACCTTATAGTTCCTTTTTCTGCCCTTGAGACTTGAAAGCATTACTTCACTTACACTAAGACAGTTGCTTCTACTTTATGAAACAAGTCTGAAAAGGTAAAAACCTAACAAAAGCTAACACCTAGGAAATTAATCCACTTTATCCCACTATATAATGAAAGGTCAAAAGTTCACACACATACATTCATGCACCCTATTTAGACACAGACACAAAGACACACACACACATGGTCAAACGCAGCTCTACTTCTATGGCTACTACTTTCACATAAAAGCAATACCTGGTGTCCTAAAGTAAATTATGACTAGAAGTTTACACTGAAAGTAAAAATCCTTTCATAGACTAGGAGAATTCTCAGCTGGGGGTTGGAAGAGAACATACCATTTAGAAAAGTATGGTCCCCTGTTTTCAGTTACCTTTCAGTTTTCTTTCCCACCTTAAAGAAAAAGAGGTGGGGAAGGGAGGGAGATCTGGAGACAGTTCAGTGGTTAAGTGCACTGCTTGAACTTCCAAAGGACCCAGGTTTGATTCCTAGCCCCCACATGGCAGCTCACAACCATCTGCAACTCTGGTTCCAGGGAATCTGACACCCTCTTCTAACTTTCTATACCCCATGCATGCATGCATACATGTGGTGCATAGACAAAGATGCAGGCAAAACAGCCATACACACAAAAATCACATAAAACTAAAATGATAATGTGTGCCCAGTACCGTGAACTAATTGGACTATCATCCACTAACAAAATTCAGGATAACCATTAGAAGTTAGTGACTAGATAAGGAGATTTTCAAAATCTACCACTTTACTAAGTTTTTGGTTTTGATTTACTCAGAAAACAAAACAACAACACAAAAACATTTCTATGTTTGTTTGCACAAAATTTTCAGGTTTGCACATAATCTAATGTATGCAGTTTACCTACAGATATGAGACAAAAATTCTGAATGAAAAGGAAGAATGTAGTCTATTTTACAAATTTTGGTTTTTTTTGTTTTTTTTTTGTTTTGTTTTGTTTTGTTTTTTGTTTTTTGAGACAGGGTTTCTCGTGTAGTTTTGGTGCCTGTCCTGGATCTCGCCCTGTAGACCAGACTGGCCTCGAACTCACAGAGATCCACTTGGCTCTGCCTCCCCAGTGCTGGGATTAAAGGAGTGCGCCACCACGGTCTGGCCTATTTTACAAATTTAAGTCTCCCCCATCAGAAGTTTCTAGTCAAAATTTCTAACACAATCACTTTTAAAAGAAAAAAAAATACCTGTGACTAACAACTAATTTGAAAAGTCATGGTGAAAATATTATATTCATATGGTATTATTGCTTATACT